AAATCTTATATAATATTTAAGAATCTTGATTCCATCTATTAGCTTTAAGACTTTATAATCGACTTCATCACTAATGGATCTTAATTTTTTATTTTTTTTTTATAAATCATGTGACACTATTTGAAAGAAAAAAAAGAGAAGAAGGAGGGGGGGGAAGGAAGAAAGAAGGGACACAAAAAGATATATCATTTGTTATCTTAGTTTATATAAATATCATATGTCTTAGTTACAACTTATGGATTATGGTTCCAATGATACTTTTACATACATATCAAAATATACAAATTAAAATTACTAAAAATATAAAATCTTTATACAAAATTTAAACCTATATCTTTTTTTTAGAAATTATCAAAAATCATGAATAAATCACAATAAACTTTATTATTATGATAGTTGGTGTGGATAATTAAAGATTGAATTCACATAAGTAAGCACTCTTGATTTGACCATCAAACAAAGTGAGTTGCTTAAGAAGTATGTAAATAATTGTAATAGAGGTTGTATTATTTGATGTGTTGTTATGTGGTAACTCAATTATATAGTAAAAAATAAAAATATGGATGTTATTATAAAAGAACCTAGTAGAAAGATATAAAAAAAAATAAAGATAAATGATAGGAAGGTAGTAAAAAAAATTAGTCTTATTATTTTCTTTTATAGAAATAACTTCTATTTATTTTTTAGGGGCATAAATGCCTCAAAATAAAGTAAATTTAATAAATAAATAATATAGATATTTTTAGAAGAGAATTAATAATAGATTTAAGCAAAAATTACTTCAAATTGGATATCAATTTTTAATAATTTTTATGTACTTGAGATGATTTTAGGATTTTATTGTCAATCACAAAAAGAGATTAGGAAGAAAAATTATGAAAAAAAAAAAAATGATTTTGTTTCACTTTGATTAATATTGAGGTTTTGAAGGATTTTTGAAGATAGTCATGTATTCAATGGATGTGGATTTTGAGAAATATAAATAAATTTACAAATTTAAAGATTTTTCAAGTTTCATAGCATATTTATAAATTAAAATTTGGAAACTTTTTATTGTACTTGTTGTAAATGTAAGTGAAAAATTTGAGATCAATCAAGCGGTTAGATTAAAGAATATGAGAGTTTTTGTAGATTGTAATCTTGAATAATTGAAATTTATGGTGAGTGAAGGATTTTACAATCTCATAATATTTTCCAATTTGATTGAAGCAAAAATTTGGGATAGCAATTTAGACTTGAATAAGTTCATATAACTCAATTTTTGGAAGAATTGGATGGTTTCGTAAAGAGAATTCTTTGTTGAAAGATTTATATTGAAGTAAGAGAAGGAAGGCAACTAACAACAAAGAGGTTTTATGAGCTTTTCTTGCAATTGAAAAGTTTGATTCTTTTCAAATTTTTTGTGCTTGATAATTTCTTATTGATTGAAGTCTAATTGAGATTTTAGTGAAGACCAATAATTTAATTAATATTAATGAGATTTCAAAAAGCTATAGTAATTTATTAAGATTTATTTAGGATTTGGTTAGAATTGATTTAGGATTTCATTAGAACTTGTTGAAGACTATATTAAAGTTTGATTAGAATTCAATTAGAATTTTTATTTTTTAATATTTTTGAAATATTTATTTGATATTTTTTAGGATTTTTTATTTTATATATATTAAGATTAATTTATGATTTTTTAATGTTTCTTTTGTAAGTTTCTAAGACTCATTTGGAATTTAAGTAAAGATTTATTAGCATTCTTACAATTTAATTGGAATTTTTTTAGGATTCTATTAGAGTTGTTAGGATCTTATTGCAAGTTCTATTTTATCTTCCACAGCTACGTGTTTGGTGCATTTTCAAGCAAACTTCACAAAATACAACAGCATTTGTGAAGGCATGCCAAATTATTTCAATTGCCATTAATCTAGATAAAAATTTGGCCAAAGAATAAGGTACTATCTACTCCAATATTTCACTTAATTTGATATTTTTTTAATAAAAATATATTTCTATAGAAGTTTTGTATTCTACAAGTATTTAAAGCCTTCAATCTCTTTTAGATTTTAGAATTATTTCACATAGTAAGAATGTAGAGATAGTTTGCAATACAAAGAAATTTCAAGCACCTTCAAGAGATATATTATTAAATTGGCATGGTAGATAATATAAGTAATTTAATTTATCAATATTAATATGTTTAATAAAATATAATCATAATAAAAGTATCATATACTACATACCAACCTCAATTCTTATTTTAGAGTTGTTTGTATGAGTGGAGATGGATCTCATGGGGCCCTTAATAACAACCAACATAAGACACATATATGTCATAGTAGCCACATGATATTTTACTAAGTGAATAAAAGTCCAAGTATTAAAATTAAAGGATTACAAGAAAATTGCCTTATTCTTCTTTCTTCAATCATGATTCAACATAATAGTTCTATGGAGATCTTAACAAACATTGGAACCAAATTTTGTTATTTGTTGATAGATATGTTAGTCATCCATCTACAAACAAAGCATACAACCACTTCTAAATATCACCTATAATACAACAAAGTGACAAAAAGATTGAATTGTATACTATACTTTCTTATGGAGAAGAATGGTAAATATAGCAAATACTAGCATATCATATTATCGACTATTATGTTTGCATAATGCACAAGCATATATTTCATGAAAGTCTTTGTTTCTTTTAAAAGACTTTATGGTTATAAATCTAAACTATCTATTGTGCCATAACACTTAGCTTGAATAGTACAAGAATCAATTGATATACTTTCATGCTTAAATGAATTACATCAATGCCACAATTATTTACATACACATGCTCATAACAACATCAGTAAGGCCCAACAACTACAAAATGAAGAATATGATAAAAAAAATAATATATACAAGAAAGTTTTTGGTAGAAGACGTTGTTTTATATTACAAAAGTTAGATAAGTTTCTAGCCAAGTTTAAAGGATTATATTGCATCATTACTTAGAACAAAGAAAAATAACGATTATCTTTTCAAACAATTTGATCCAAAATAGAAGCCATTAAATTTTTAGATATGGAATTTGATTTAATTTATTATAATCTATACCTTGATCTCACTAATATTAATCTTGTTGGTTATAATATGCAATATACACGTGACCAAGTCTCATTTGATGCCTCCACACCATAGCTTTCTTATGAAGGAATTTTTCTACATATATAGAAATAAGAAGTAGGCTTAGCACAAATATTATATTAGCCAATACAATTGTACAAGAATCCAAATTGTAGGACTAATGGAAATGTTGTCCATCTCAATATTATAATATAAAAGTCGTCAAGTGTGACAATCTCAACAAGTATTGAAATACATAACTATTCTATACCTCTTTTATATTTGTATTCCATTAGATGGTATTTATTCCATTGTTGTCTTACACCATTGCTGAGTTGAGCCATTCTTGGAGACCTACAACCACCTTTGGTAAAACTTGTCTCTTCTATTGCTAACAGCTTATCCCTTTGTCAATCACACTAAATTGGTTGTAATAAAAATTACATCCATCTAGTTCATTCCTCTAAAGAAGAGGCAAGAGAAAGACATTGGAATCAAATCTATTAGGAAGAGGTGCTAGAGGCACCTTTTTATAAAATGGAGGCAAATTATAGAAGCATTTATAAAAGTTAGAAGGTTATTTTTATTAATTATATATTTTTTGTTTTGTTTTGTTTTTTTTTTTTTTTTTTTGTAAAAAGAAATGAGTAGAAACTATATTGGCTAAAGAAGAAAGGAAAAAAATCATTATATATTTTTATTTGGTTTTTAAAATCAAATTTGTATGAAGTGATATTAAATGTATGTCTTATTGTTGAAATAAAAAAAGAATTTATAATATTTGTAATTTTGATGCACACTTTTAAATTATTTTTTATATTAAATAAATACACATATATATATAAGTTTTATTATTATATTTATATTTATATTTTATATTTTATATTTTTTTATTATGTCAATTTTTTTAAAACTAAACTTGATATTTAAAGTAAAATGAATTAATGCATAATAATGACATAACTATTTAACATAAATAACATAAAAAAATATAAATAAAAAATAATTTTGGCATATTAAAGATAACATAATAAAATAATATTATTAGAAAGTCAATAAAAAATAAACTTTAAAAGAATATGAAAGTCTAGAAGATGAAATGTACAAGTCAATTGTTATGTGTGTATATATATATATATATATATATATTTAGATGTCATAATACAATATGCACAATTAAGAGAAAGAATAAAAAAGAATTGTTAGAATTTTTTTTTTGGCCACAATTTCAGTGTGCATTTGGAATAATGATTGAATCTTAAAATTAGGTTGTGATAAAAACTCAACATGGATATGTATGGAGAGCCTCTACAAATTTGAATGCAATGTGAAAAGGCTAGATCACAAGTGTGTTGATATAAGTATGTAAAAATTAACATAAGATGAAGTGCCATATTTTATCTAGATTTATTAATTTATAATTACTATTTTTTCCACCTTATTTCTTCAATACTTGTAAGGGCAAACTAGACTTGTAGCTTGGTATCATTTAGTGTATTAACTTGAAAAATATGTTCTTCTTCACTTAAAATTCTCAAAAGATTGTAAAATGCTTTTATAAAAATATTAAAATGTGTATATATATATATATATATATATATGTCATAAAGATTAAGAAAAGCAAGAGAATTAAAAAATAAATCCCTCGTCAACAGTATTCAACTTTAGTGAAATATCCATCCAGAAACGAAACCGTAGCCACGCATCCAGCTGATCCGAAAAGGACAGGAGTTCATACGGTGTGAACGGGGGAATATCCGAAAGGGGATTGAGAGGAGGCGCGGGGGCGGGGTTGGGGGCAGCGGGCAGGGAGGCAGTGGGGAAGAGCTGCCCCCAATTGGTCCTCCCGGGATTCTCTCCCGCAATCTTCGTGCTGTCATCTGCTTTGAGGAGAAATATTTTTCCTTTTCGCTCATCGATGTGGCGCGATTACTGATCTCTGTAGTTGGTGTGACTCCGTGACTGAACCCCGTTCAGCTTTGTTCGAATTCTGGATGCGCGCGGAGCGAGAGAAAGAGAGAGAGGGATCAAGCGTAGGTGGCGTAAGTTGGATGCGAGTTGCGCGCTGTGCTTAAGGTTCTGTATAACTTTTAATTCGATGTCGTGGTTGTACATTTTTCTCCACTTAGATTGTGATGCTCTTGAAGCAACTTCGTGGTGAGCTTAATCCGAAATTGATTGAGCGTTTCATGGTTGTGCTGTGGATGAATTGAATGTGACTCGTTGCATCTAATTTGTGGCATTCGCACTGCAACGTGTGATGAATTTGTGAATTGAGAGAGAGAGAGAGAGAGAGAGAGAGAGAGAGAGAGAGAGAGATCGAGATCGAGCAAGATGTTTCAGCTTTTTGTATTCGGGAAAGTTTTCTTGGTTAACTTTTTGGATTGTCAAGTTCTGTGAATGTTTATCGTTATCAGCTTTGTAGTCCTGTGGCTGCTGTATCACATCGCTTTCTTTTTCCATCTTTTTTGCATATTCTATCGATAGGCGTGACAATGGCCGCGTCTACAAATTTGGCGGTATCGTCTGCATTGTCATCCTTGTGCAATGGAGCTGGTTATGGGCGACAGAGAACCTCCGGTGGCATTTTTACATGCTCAACTTCAGACGCCTTTATCAAATGCGGAGGAGAGAATCCGCAGCAGATAACTGGTAGTAGATTGAACTCTCCATGGCAGAGGGTGTTTCCCAGAAGGCTTTCAGTAACCATGGCCCTTGACGCTGGCAAAGAAGTCAGTGCAGGAAGTGGAGTTGATACTGAACAGTGGTCAATCCCCCAGACTATTGAAGAAGCCATTGAGCAGGTGACTTATTATCCGTTTATAGTCAACAGTGCTTCATTTTTATTTTTATTTTTTAAATCAGGTAAAGACGAATCGACCGTCATTTAATCAAACATATGCAATCACGGATACTTCTTTGACAGATTCTGATGATATTGGAACACATTTGTAAGCAAGAATAATCTCTTTTCTGTGTTCTCGCCTCTCACACGAGAGGAACCTGGATGAATGCAAATCAAGGCTAGTGGTGCAGTGCAAAGGGCATTAGCAAGTGGGAAGAAGAGGCAACAGCTACAGCTCTTGCTCCCTGTGGATCAACGCCAGTTCAACTACCTCGACACTGAGCCCAGGTAAGCTCTACGAGGGCGGTACTCTTTGATAAAATGTTCGTGATATGTAATTTAATGTACTTATTGAAGGTTGTATCCTCTTCAGGTTCCTGGATCCGACATCTTGATGTGCTTGCAGGGATTATCCATGCGGAATTGGAGCAGAGTACTTAGCATGCGTTAAAATGGTGGGGAAAATCTTCCAGACCATCTCTCCATCGGCTGACAAAGTTGAGACGCGGCGCATAGGGGAAGTTGACAATGAAATGGATCCTGTTGGCCTTGTATATCCCGCTGACAAAAGTATCGCTGCAGTTGTGTTTCCTATCGCAGAGTCCCTGAAGCAGGTATGTAGAATGGTTAGATGGCGAATCGGAAAACCAAGGATGAGTGCTTTTATATATCCTTATTCTCAGAATTTTGACCAAACCCGACTCATGAAGCCTACAATCCAACCTACACTTTGTTTCTGGTGCAATGTTCTAGTACACACAAAACAGTCTAACTGAGTGATTTTTTTAGGGCAGATCCGGTCACTGGCGAGCAGTGATGAAAATCGCCCACTGCTTTTGATAAATCCGCAATGGCGAAATTCTGGGCAAGTGGTATCCGATTTCGGCTTCGGTCCATGGAGAAGGTCGTTGAGGAAATTGCAATCCTCATCTACAATTCGTCCATCCTGTTATTCTTTGTGTTCGGACTTATTTAATTGTCAATTACTTGTGAATGAAGAAGTAATAAGCATTAGAAGATTTCCGTAGTGACTATCAGGGTGTTGACAGACAGGCTGAAGAGTTTGTGAACTCGTTCGAGATTGTCTACACGTTGACAGAGCAACGAGTCGGTGAAGCATCCAACGTCACCTCCAGCTCTGGCGGGGTTGTGCGCATCTTAAAATGCTATCCAGGCAGTTGGCAGGTATGCCTGTGTTTGGAAGAACGAATGGACGGACAAAAGTGTACACCAGGAATTTTAGCATAAATCATATAGAAATTTGATATGTTGAATTCCACTTAATTATCTGCTTGGGTGTTGGAGTTAAAGCAGCTAAGCAGGTGATTGCAGCAGTTACGGCTGCAAAGTTACGGAGTTTGTTGTTTAGTATCACAGGCCAATCGAACAATTGAGCTGTTTTTCTCGAAAGCTAATTTGTTGTTGACAAGGATCACTAAGCAGTTTGGTGGTGGTGGTATGCAGGTCCATTTAATGCTGTTAGATGGTAAATCAGAAGTCGTTGGGGTGTTTCCTTCCCAGCCAACATACAAAGCGGTCGAGGATGCAGTCAGAGAGGTAGATTTTTCATCTCATCCAGGAACTTATTCTATTTTGCTGGCATGCTTTGTGGTCCAGGCTCATCCATTTATCAGCATCCCGTTGCATCACCGTTTTTCTTTCTTTTTTTTCTTTTTTTTCTTTTTTTTTTTTTTTTTTTTCTCTTTCAATGGATAATTTTTCAGCTGTAAAAAGTTTCCTGGATCATGACTCTAGCCGGGAAGAGATGTATATTAACCTAGAGTCACGACGTTAATGACAGGGTAGAAAACTCAACCCATGGAAATCACCTCCCCGCATTCTTGGTGGTTCCGAACCCGCCCCGCCACCACTTCCCAAGTCCCTTTCTGGAGCTCTATCAGATGAGCAGATCGAAGCCATGGATACGGCCGAAGTTCGAAGGGCATTACTGGCTCTTAACCTCCCCTCCTCAGGCAGGATGTCAACTCTCAAACAAAGATTGAAGGAAGCACAACAGAACTGAGCTATCTAATGAACAATCTTAATCGTTAAATTGTACTGCAGGACCGAATGAGAGATTGGACTCAAGCACATCAAACCTTCTAGTTCACCGTTCAAGTTGATCAATTTAGTTTTTTATGGAAATTCACTAGACCTATGATGTACTAATTGGTACCGCTCTGAACGAAGCTATTCTTGAAAGAAGGCAGTGCTCCTAAGTTCTCTACCTAAGTTTATTTGGGTTTTACGTTAGAAGTTAGAGTCTTAACGCCAAAAAGCTTGACGTTTTGACTAAAGTTTACAAAAGTTTTCCTCGAGAATCTCGCCAGAAAGTATTGGAAACTGCGATGTTACTGAAGGGGAAAAGCTGCTTCAATGTCTTTGGCCAATTTAGCCAAAACCTCTAACCGCCCCGCCGTTGGTCTTGTCCACAAGGATAAGGAACGTAATGGCAGGTAAGAACTATTATAAGCAAGTATAGATGATCAGTCGCAAAGGTTAGAACAGAACACATTGCAACAATTTAAGGTTATCATACTCTTTCAAAAGTAGTGGTGATGACAACTAAAAGACGATCACTAACTACAGGCGATGCTGCTACAAAAAAAAGATCACCCGAAAAACAAGATCGTATGAGAATCACACTTACCAGATACTCTACAGAATTCCATCAGAATCACATATAGCCACAGTTTCTAAGATCATACGAGAAGCTTATATTGCAGCATCATCAACAGTTCTACACCGTGCAAATTTTTATGCGACTGCAAACAATTTCGTGCAAAATTTGATGACCGACGGCAACCGTGTTCATGCGACAGGGCCTGTTCGAACCGCCTCTCATCCATCCCATCGGCACCGCGATGGTTCATTCATCTTACCTGCATTCATCTATTCGGATGCATTCATGTGCAGTGTTCTAGTTATAACTCTCAAACCCCTTAAACCCTAATCCCCCAGCTTCCTCAGAAGCAAGCGTGGATTGGATTCAGACAAGGGGGAGCGCGTAGCCATCGTGATGGGGAAGAAGCAAAAGAAGCCCGGTAAGGGCAAGGAAAAGACCGAGCGCAAGACTGCCAAGGCCACTGAAAAGCGGAATCGCCGTGAGGACAAGCTTGTGTCGGAAGAAGACGACATTGATGCCATTTTGGTATCGTTTTAGTGCCTTGTTGTGATCTTCTGTTGTGGTCTGGATTTGTGTTGAATTTTCTTTTTCGAAGCCTCCATTCTGGTCGCAGGTTTCTGAAGGGTTTTAGGACTCAATTAATTTTTGGGGTGAACTGGGTTTAGGGTTTTAGAGGGATTTGGATGATAATAACTTCGGGACCAATGCAGTGTTGTACTGTTGGAGTCTTATTGATTTGAGTTCGGAATGTTTGTAATCTGATTCGATTGTTGGATTTACGATTTTGTCTCGCTGTGGATTGTCATTCTAGTATAACGGAGCGTAATGTTGAGTGTAAAGAAAAACTCCAGGATCCGCATTATGTTGTAGCACTTTCCTCCAGCAACCTGGATATTGTAGCAATTGTGTTAGTTCTGTGTTCGTGACAGGCTCAAATCAAGAAAGAAGAGGCTAAAAAAGTTGCGGTTCACGTAGATGAGAATGTGCCTGCTCCTTCGCCTCGCTGCAATGGATCGGTATGAGAATTTCCTCAAGTTGGCCTTCTTTTCTTTTAGCCAGCGAACTCTTTGCAGTGCTTTATTGACAGGGTGAAGTGATCGCTTCAATTGAACTGCTCCTTCCATCCGAATAGTGCCTTTTGATAGCCTTGTTACTCGTTCCGCCTTCTGGCAACTTCTAGCTGAACTGATGACTTGGACAATTTTTACTTTTGAACAAACGGTTAAACCAAAGCTGTTGCACTTATCTGTATTGTTGTGTAAGTCTGACCTGTAAGTCTGAGTGTTTTTGCAGATGACAGTGAATCCCCTGAAGGACACCGAGCTAATTTTCTATGGAGGAGAGTACTACAATGGCGATAAAGTATGCATTCTAGAATTCGTAATTCACCCTCCCGTCGTTCTAGATAGATGGCTTGTGTAGCTGTAGTACAGGCCTCAGCTTACGTGGTACTCAAGAATTTCTGAAAGATTTAGTAGAGTTTGTCAGCATACTGAGAGTCTCTTTGTCAGACTTTTGTCTATGGGGATTTGTACAGATTTAACGTGGAGAAAGGTGATTGGAAGCTGGTGTCAAGCCCCAACAGTCCACCCCCTCGCAGCGCCCATCAAGCTGTTGCCTGGAAAAACTCCCTCTTCATTTTTGGTATGTTATTTACTCACTGAAGGCTAATCTTTTTCTTTCTATTTTTCCATTGATTGATAATAGGATAACTTATTTTCTAGTTCAGATTTCTTTAATTCCCTGAGATTTCTTATAATATATCAGTCTAAGAAATGTACCACTCATGGTTGATTGCACTGTCGCTTTTCATGCGTAACATAATCTACTTGCGGTATATTTGTAGGTGGAGAATTCACCTCTCCTAATCAAGAGAAGTTCCATCACTACAAGGTGGCTTTTTCTGTATTTTTGGACAAAATATAGTTCCTCTATAGTAATATATCTTCAATTCAATAGCTTCCGGACAATCACGTTAAATCTTCCAACATTCAGTCTCAAGTTTAGCAGAATGAATAACTATATCTATAAAATAGATTCATTGTTTGGATACTCAATCGCAACTTGAGGGCGCTGTGAATAGTGCTTGTCTCTGATTAGCAAATGATGTAGTTGCAAGTCAATGAGTAGTTTCTATGGCTCAATACAATCGCAATGCTCATGTGATTCATTATTCTTATATGTATATGGTTTGTTGTGAGCAGGATTTGTGGAGATTCGACATCAATACAAACGTATGGGAACAGTTGAGCCTTAAGGGTGCTCCGAGTCCACGGTCTGGGCATAGAATGGTACTGCCTCGCCTCATTATTCATGTACTTTTTATGACAGCAGTACTAGGTTTTTGCGTGTGTGAGCTAGTACATTGAAATAAATATTAATTATCTAGATGGTAGTTAATCATCGTTGTGGAGAATGCAGCTTCTCTACAAGCACAAGCTTATTATCTTCGGAGGCTTTTATGATACCCTTAGAGAAGTCAGGTAAGGTGATTTTATTTCAAAATTTGTTTACTTCAACGTTGAATTTCGGGAAGATTAGATATTAGGGATGAGCTTCTCTTTGGGCTTTCGGTAAATGATGGGCATCGAGGATTCCGTTCAGATTGAAGCAGTGTTAAAGCATACTGGTGTACTCTTCACCAGCTTTCAGTATGCAGGACATGTAGTTAGGCTTAGTTGGTCTAGACTTGTATGTAGAGAAGACTGCTTTAACGAGTCTCACATGTTGGTCGGGTTGCTATGGATCAGGTATTACAACGATCTTCATGTGCTTGATCTGGATGACTATAAGGTACTCTATCTTTTCACGTGCTAGCTATGCTCATATGATTCTGCGCAAACATAGCTTATTCGTGCTAACAATTAGCACCTTAGCATGTCTCAGATGTGTTAATTATTTTCTTGTGCAAACTGGATTATCAGTTTAAACGTCCAGCTAGACTTCAGAGTCCCTTATTTGTGATATTACTGTAAGCGAGAATTTTGAAGACTGGTATGCAATATTCTTACTTCTCAAGTCATGTTTTGCATGTGTAGTGGCAAGAAATCAAACCCAAACCCGGAGCTGCTTGGCCATCACCAAGAAGTGCGTTTCAGTTTGCCTCCTACCTTGACGAGGTTTTCTTGTCTAAACTCTCTTCAAATACATTCTTGGCGAAGTGATGATGTTGTATCGTGTGTTATCGAAATAATGAAGAATATAATTGTTGATTTAGAACATGTGGCTAAATGTGTCTGTTGATAACAGATCTTTTTGTATGGTGGTTACTACAAAGATGCTGGGAATGAGAAGGATGGATCAGAAAAAGGTGTGGTCCATGCAGATATGTGGGTGTTGGACCCTCGCACATTTGAATGGAATAAGGTTATATTCTGGGCACCGATGTCTGTCAATCCAATGTGTTTTTTGTTTTTTGTTTTGTTTTTGTTTTTGTTGAATTTGATCCCTACTAGACTTGCGGATATCTTACTAGGTTTTGGAAATTCTTAATTATTTGCACTATTTTAACATTGATTTCTTGTGATCAGGTCAAAAAACTTGGAATGCCTCCTGGACCAAGAGCAGGGTTTTCAATGTGTATCCATAAAAAGAGAGCTATTTTGTTTGGCGGAGTGGTAGACACTGAAGATAAAGGTACCCCAACATGTTTTCAATCTTCTTGGTACATTAATCACGTCTTGCACTTGCTGGTTCAAACCTTGTCAGTTACTGTTTAGCTAAACTTCTGATTACAAATGAAATCAGAAGCGTTTGTCAAATTTTTGCATTTCTTCCGGCTATTTGATTAACTTAGATTGCAAAATGAAGTGGGGTATTGAGCAATATCTGATATTTATTCGTTGGTGTTCAATTTCAGATGTAATACGTAGTACATTTATGAATGAAATGTACGCTTTTCAAATGGACAATCGGCGATGGTAAGTACTTTAACTCCTACAAACTCATTCTTGGACAATATACAGACTAAAGCAGACGGATGTGCTCACTTACATCGCAATTTCTTCCAGATACTGCAAGGAAATTTAGAGTTTAATTTTGAAAGTTAATGTTTATTTTCATGCTTGTACTTGTTGGCCAGGTTTCCTCTGGAGCTGCGACGGCCAAAGGCACCGAAAGGGAAAGTATGATAACATATTTTCTATTCCCAACATTTCACTGTGGTCATGATGCAATTTCAAATTCCTCTATTCTACTTCAATAAGAGCGTGAACTTTGGATTAGTGTTGTTTGCAAAAATCTTGATGCATTTCAAATAACTTATCATTTTAGCCGTATGCATAGTTTCAATTTCAACGCCAATGGTATCTAATGTAGGGAGCTGAGCAATACTAGTGCATTGCAACGTCATGCAATTATGGATTGGAAAGTGTTGTGAGTTAAATCTTAACGGTGACGCATTAGCTGCACTGTTTTTGATCTGGAGTGGTCCACACTTAAGTGTACCAAGTCAAATGAAAGCTGGAGAGACTTCTGCATATGATTTTGTGATGCGTTCTGGAAGAAAACTCCAATTTCGGTGTGTGTTATGATATTGTAATCTTGTTTTAACAGGCTAAAGGTCAGGCTGGACCATCAAAGAGTAAAAAGCAGAAAGCAATTGCAGAGTCGTTTGATTTCGAAGAAGCTAGGCCTGCAAACGATGATGTTGATATGGACGTTTCAAGCAACGATGTGAGCGTCCATGAGAGTGAAGGATTGGCTAAACGCATTGAGGATAATGTTGTGATTGACGACACAGTTACTGCTGATGTCGAAGCTGAACCTGAGGTCGGCTTTTTGTATTCTTACTACCATTGTCTAATCTTTATGATGTCATGTATTTTCTTGTTTGAGATATAGTAGCTTCAATAGAAGATCACCTACTTTATGTAGGTAGGCATCGTTCTCACGAAGACCGGGAGTGATAGTAAAGGATCTGTATGTACGTGTGTATGCTTGTGGGAAGTACGAAGATTTTAACTTATACATTGGAATTGTGATTTTGCAGATTGTGAAACCTTGTGGTCGTATAAATAGTTTAATGGTTGTTGGTCGTGACACGCTCTACCTTTATGGAGGCATGATGGAAATTGGGGAACGGGAAGTGACCCTTGATGATTTATATTCAATGGATCTAAACAAGCTAGATGCTTGGAATCTTGTTATTGAGGTACAGAATATCTTGCACATATGTGCTGTCCTATTTTGCGCTATTGTTGAAGTAATCTGCTGTCGTGAGTTGTTTTGAGAGCCTTATTCTGTAATGTCATGTTGATTTGATTTGCAGGCCACAGACACAGATGAGTGGATAGAAGTTGATGACGAAGATGATGATGAGGATGAGGATGATGACGACGAGGATGATGATGGCGATGAAGATGGTGATGATGAAGATGATGACGACGAAGACGATCAGAAAGTAAACCGCTATATCTGTTTTAAATTCACATGTGGTCTGGAAAGTGTATGTGTGTATGTATGCAATGATAGATAGATAGATAGATAGATATTTTGATTGGTTCAGTATAACTTACTCTGGTCCATCAATTGTAGGCTGGGAGTTCTACAGTAACCACAGCAGAAGCAGCAGCTGCGCTACTCCGAGGTGAAGGAAAGAAGCTACAGCGCAAAGACAGGAAGGCTGAGATAGCAAAACTACGTGCAGAGCTTGGATTAGCAGATGCTGCTCGAACACCTGCTGTACGTGCACTATTAGTTGACATTTATGTTTCTCCGGCTTATCTGCTGCCTGTAAAGAGGGGGATAATTTTTCAACGAAGCTAGTTTATTTCGTTTCTCATTACTGGAGCAACATGAACTGACATTAGAATGAAATGACTGCAGCCAGGAGAAAGCTTGAAGGATTTTTTTGCTCGAACAAACATGTATTGGCAAATGGCAGCCTACGAGCACACTCAACATACTGGCAAAGAACTACGGAAGGATGGGTTTGATTTAGCAGAGGGTCGCTACAGGGAGCTTCGTCCAGTTCTTGACGAGGTCAACTTCCTGCTAGTTCTAAACTTGGATTTTTTTATGTTTTCCATGTAGACTTTTTTGCTCGTACTTGTGCGAAGACCACTCTATGGTTCTTTATAGTTCTGCTTTATTTGATTGTGCATATGCTATACAAAGGCGTGTATATGCGTTTGTTAATCACAAAGATGAATTCTTCTGCGCAGCTGGAGAAACTCGAGGCTGAACAAAAGGCAATAGAAGCTGAAGAAGCTAAGACTCAACCTACACGCAAAGGTAAAGACAAGGCAAAGCGAGCAGCCAGGTAGGAGCGCCTTAATCTGCAAGCAGGCTCGTTCTTTCATATATGTGGTTCAGCTCCAAAAGAGCTGCATTTTGTTATACAATTTGATGAATTTTATCGTGACAAACCACGCAGTTTTTTGTGGATTTAATCTATCCGTTATGACGTGTTCTTTATTCCTACTTTGTAGGTTCTTAATCATCCACTCTCTTTCTGTTGCAATGAGGCAGTATCACCTTTCAGTAAAGCTTTCCAATCGAAATGAGTGACTAATTCTTAATTGCTAACCTTGATCCACGTGAAGAGCTAAACGTTAAAATTATTCAAAACCGTCTGTTTGAACATGTGATGACGAGTTGGTAACATATTTTCATGTCTGCACTCAAATCCTCCAATCTTTCTGCTTTAGTGTAGTCCAATATGAAGGTGACATGATTTCCAACATGCCTATCCTCTGAGGTAATCCTTGAGCGTTGCAACAAGAACAAATTATAGAAAGAGGCCAAATTTATGCAAAGACTGTCAAATCAGATTTTGTTGCAGGATCGGAAGCATATCATGTGCAAGAGGGCATTGGTATGCGATCCAAGGTCTTGAAACGAATTTTGTCATCGCAGTTGCGTGAGCTTGTCCATGTACAAGAACAATATGAATTAGTATCTGACACGGACGGGTAAGGTGTCTTCAGAATGGGGAAGGAAAGTAATTTAGCATGTTACAAGATCTGCAAGAAACTCTCGAAATTGTGAACAATTGATTAGAATATTTTTCAACGATGGAAGTGAAATCCTTTCAGAAACATCTGAATGGCTTGAATAATTTAACGAAAGTGGACCATATCTTCCCTAGTCAAATGACTTCACTGAACCCATGTCATCCTGGATTCTGTGGTCTGCATTAACCGCAACAAGTGACTGCAAATCCTTGATTTTCTCACACATGAAAAAAAATCGGGATTGGATTACAAACAAAATGCACGAACGCGTAAGGTTACCAAAATTTGTTTGATTGTGCAGAGAAATAATTATAAAGTTGTAAGAGGTGTGTGAATAGAATCCCCCGTTTTTGTACCTAACATATTGTTATGTATAAATTTACATAATTAAATACTGTTTACAATAAATGCATGATTCATACATCAGAATCCACCCAAAAAAATCATTTTCAGATGAATGCAATCATCCTGTAGGATAAGAATATCCTAAGATGCTAATATTTCATCATGACTATTTTGAACGATTTATTGATTTTGAAGGGGCGCATGATATGAGAAATCTTCAAAAGTGCGTAGTATTTTAACGAGCATGATTTATGACACAAAATAGATTGTAACAAAAATCTTTATTTATTTTAAAATTCAGTTCATACAAATATCGTTAGTATATATAAAGAATGTTCATGATTGTGTATGTATATATTAAAGCATGCTCACTTTTAGAATGATTAATAAATGTTATAAATACACATAATTCTTGTAATGATTTTTTTTTTTTTAAATCAATTAACAGATTGCTCTAGAATACCTACATTTTTATTATTTACAAACAACATTATAGTGACATGTGCTTATGGAAAAAGATGATGATGTTAGTTTTGATGTAGCATTGCCAACAATTGGGTTAGAAACTACTCATTCAAAATTCCCACAGTTGGTATTGAGTGCCATTGGATTGATTGTTGTTTGTGGGGGTGCTTATGTGTTATACAACACACATTATCTCAGAGTAAAGATAAAATTGCCTCCAGGACCTCCTCCATGGAATGTGTTTTGCACATCAATGCAATCCAAAAAACCATGCCAGGCTTTGGCAAAAATTTGCAATTGTGAGTATGGAGGAATAATGACTTTAAGTCTGGGAAAATTTCCCACAATTCTTATCACATCTACAGTGATTGCAACTCAGGTACTTCATGTGGGCCAATTCTAAACAAACAAATATGCAAAGGCATTCAATTTTTTTATTTATTTTTCATTTGTTCATGTCTTGGTCAAAAAAATAAAGATGGTGCCTACATAATTTAGTATTGTATATGTAATGTCATGTTTAGTAATTGAACCAATTGTGTTTATTTTAAATCCATTTTTAACTTGTTAAATAGATATCTTTTTTGTATATAGTTTTAATTGATTTAAAACTTTTTTTTAGGTTTTAAAAAGATACAAATTCAAATTTGGCCATCCCAAAAACATTCCTAGGCCATGTGAGTATTTGCATCCAGACAATTATCAAAACCTAAAATGTGTTCTACCATACAATTGGACACAATGGCATAAGCTATGGCAAATTTATATTGATCACTTATTGCCAGTTGCACATAATATGAGTTTCCAATCCATTAATCAACTTGACATCCAAATAATGCTAAAAAACCTTGAAAATGAGATGACCAAAGAAGGTGGCATGAAGCCATTTGGAATAGGATTACGGCCTCATTTGCGCCACGCCTCGTTCAAATTCATATTTAACATTTGCTTTGGGAGACATGTGGATGCAATTGCCGGTGGTGTCGGCTCTCACAAAGACCCCCTCATGATGCAACTTGAAGCCTTATTCATTGAAGTTATTAGACTTGGTCCCGCATTCATCATAAGTGATTTTGTTCCAACATCACTCCCTTTCCATTCACCCATTGATATACAACGTGCCGCAATATCGGGAACCATTGAAAAGGTACAAAACATTTT